TGCCATTCTTCTTCAAACTGTCATTCCCAGCATAGTAGATCATGTGGTCCATGTGGTCATCTGATTCAAAATGGCCAAAACCAGTCCATTTCAGCTCACTAATGCCTAGGATATCAATCTTTATATGTTCCATTTAATTTTTGACAACTTACAATTTTGTTAGATTCCTACTTCGTACATTCCATGTTCCAATTATTAATGAATGTTTGCAGCTGTTTCTCCTCAAATTGAGTCATACTATGTCAACAAATAGAGATCCTGAAAGGTTTATTTTATCCATATAATTAAGGTTGGTACTACTCTGATGATGCAGCTTTTTTTTTTTTTTTTAATTGTGATTTGGGTGGAAGGTTACAGAGAAAATTCACTTTCTGTACAGCAGTTCACATGCACTTTTGTCTCATGACATTGACTACAATTTACCCCAATGCAACAGCTCCCCTCCCACTTCCTCCCAATAGTTAACTCTTCCCTGTGTCCATCCCTCCATGCACTCCTGCCCCCTAAGCTGTCTCCCTGTGCATACACAGCCCTTCTATTCTCCCATGATTGTTCCCTCCAAAGGAAGGTGTCTACGTAATGTAAATGTTCAGCTCATATGCCTGTCTTTTGTTTGGCTGGAAGCCACAGGTGTGGGTTCATTTCCAGACTTGAAGGTCAGCTAAGCTAGGGGACATAGTCTCAGTGGTTCCACCAAGCTCTATCAGACTATCAAACCTTGTCCCTCCCTCCCTTTTTTTTCCCTAAATGATTTTGAATTTTGTTCCACATTGTTCTCCCTCTCTATTCAGGATCTCCTACATAGATCCTCTTCTGAGTGGTTGACGGTGGTAGCCAGGCACCATCTAATTCTTCTGATCTCATAGTTGTATAGGCTTCCAATTGCATGGTGTATTAGTTGCCAGGACTAATTGTTTCCATGAATCTTTGTTTTTCTTCATTCTTCTTTGCTCTGGATGAGGAGAGACCCATCGTTACACCTAGATGGCTGCTTGCAAGCTTTTAAGATCCCAGTCACTACTCGCCAAAGTAGGAATTGGAACGTTTTGTGTAGTATGTTATGCCAATTGAGCTTGATGTCCCCTGAGAACTATGGCACTGATCCCACCAGTTCAACTACTTGGTCTCTCTGGGTAACTGACTGTGATTAAGAAGTGACTGCAATCTTGCCCCTTGTCAGCTCTACTATACACCAGGGAATTCTTACAGATAATACTAATACACTTATAGGGTCGTTGTCTGCCAACCCTATACATGGTCTTGGGTACACTCCCTGGTACATAGACATACCCAATAGTTCAGCCTGTCCACCCTGATGATGCAGCTCTTTCCCACTTGTATTTTGAGTGCCTTTGGACCTAAGGGGGTTGGTGTTCCTGCACTGTATCAGATAGTGTTTCAGGGCTATTCATAAAGTTGCCTCTTAATGAATTGGGCAGTGTTACTCTGCTATTCATAAGGCTTTCCATGGCCAATTCTCTGAGAAGTGGATGGGCTCTTCTTTCTTCTTAGTCTGTCTCAGGAAGAAGGAAGAGTTCATCTACTTCTCAAAGAATTGGCCAGGGAAAACCTTATGAATATTCATCTCATATACTTGTCTGTTATTTGGCTGGAAGCCATAGGAGTGAGTTCAATTCCAGACCTGAAGGGTGGCTAGGGGCCATGGTCTCGTGGGTTCTACCATGCTCTATTAAACAAGCAAACTTTTTTTTTTTCTTTCATGATATTGAGTTTCATTCTACATTATTCTCCCACTCTATCCCTGGTCTTCTGCACCAATCCCCATCTGAGTGGTTGATAGTGCTGGCCAGGCACCATCTAGTTCTTCTGGTCTCATGATCGTATAGGCTGAGGATCACATGGTCTACCAATCCCTTGGTCTGATTTTCTCTGTGTGTCTTTTCTTTTCTTCATTCTTTGTTCTGATGAGGAGAGACCCATCATTGCATCTAGATGGCCACTTGCAAGCTTTTAAGATCCCAGTAGCTAGTCATCAGTGTAGGATGAAGAACAATGTTTTTGTATAGTATGTTATACCAGTTGAGCTTGATATATGTCCCCTGCAACCACGGTCCTGAGCCCAGAGGTCCAACTACTCGCTCTCTCCAGGTAACTGACTATAGCCTAGAAGTCACCTCAGCCTTGCCCTTGTCAGCTCTACTATACACCTGGACATTCTTACAGCACATACAAATACGTGTGTAGAAACAATGTCTGCTAACTCTATACATGGCCATGAGCACACTACCCCCTGCCTAGACATACCTGATTGTTCAGCCTGTCCACACATCTATCGACCTGTAGATCTAGGCTTGCCATCACTGACAACATAGTACTATACATGCAAAAGGGTTCATCTTTGTTGTCTGTACCTTCCACATACCTCTCTATGTCTTCCTTTTTCTCAATGCCACTGTGTTGATCACTCACATTTGGTACATTATCCTTTCCTTTACCCATATCAATACTTTGTTTGCCTGTCTTTATATGCAGAACTTTTGCTTTCAAAAAGTATTAGCAAATAACTAACAAACTAGTTGTTGTCCAGTTAGTTCTGATTCATGGTGATCCCACAGGGTACTGGCTAAGACCACCGACTCTGGAGCAAGAATTGGGCAAGTTTCCTAACCTTTCTGTGTCTATTTTCTCATCTGCATCATAGGACTTGTGAAGATTAAAAGTCAATATACTTAAAGCCCTTAGAACAGTTTCTGGCAGACAGAAAGCATTCCATGACAATGATTGTTATAGTCATTAAGGATAGAGATAGAAAGAATTTGGAAAATGGTCAGCCTAGCAGCAGATAACATCAAGGTAGCAAATAGTTGTTGGACATTCAGTTGCTCTGGCAATCTTTCTGAGAAACCTCTGATCTGTGACCTTTAGAATTACTTTTCTTCTCATCACAGCCACATAGGACCTTTGGATGCAGTTGACATAAACCAAAAACCAAACTCACTACCATTGAGTCACATACGACTCATATCAACCCCTACTTGGGTTTCTGAGGCAGTATCACTACGGAAGTAGATCACCCAGTCTTCCTTCCAAGGCATGGCTCGTGGGTTTGATCCACCAGCCTTCTGTTTAGCAGTCAAATGCCTTAGGCACTATGCTACCAGAGCTCCACAGTTGACATAGAATTCCTTAAACACTATCATACAGTTAGCAGGTGATCTGGATTTTGTCCTTCTATTATCCATGTACCTGGACTTTCAATGCCTTTATTCTGCTCATAACCTTTGAATTTGTTTCCCTGGCATAAGACATTCCAGGACTTTGAATGCATAGTGGTTGGTTGATATTTTCCAATAATGTCAGGACCTCTTGTAATGTATGGCTGCATAGGTTGTACACTGTCTAGCTGCAGTGAGCCACCATTTGCTTCAGAACTAGACACTAAATAGTACAGTCTCAAATCTAAGACATTTTACAACCTGAAATTATTCACAAGAACATGCATATGCATGTAGGCATACTTGAAATAGAGTGATGTTTAAGGTAATTTTATACCTCACCAGAAAAAAAAAAAAAAAGTTTTCCACTGTTAACCACTCCTTATATGCAGAGTAATATGACTGCCATGAAATGGAAAAATATTTAAGTATTAAAAAGCTGAACTGAAAGACAAAATCCCCTGATGGCTGGGTTATGGAAGACAAGATTTACCTCATGATAGGCTGATTGTATGTGTAGGTGCAGCAGATGATGGAAAGGTTTCTTGGAATTGAGGAAGGAGCCCTTAAACCCCAATTTAAAAAAAAAATTCCCATGGACTGAATTGATACCTGAAATTCCACCTTTAAAAATTAATCCCTTTCTCTCGTATCTATACCATGTATTACATACACTTGCCTTAGATAGGGGGTTATGTTTATGCTCATTAGTCACTTACCCTGTAGAATGAATGAATAAACCACACTTGCTGATAAGAGATTTCATGAGAGGAAGGTAGGGAGAAATTAACTGCACTGAACTGTTTAAAGGGGAGTGTACTCCTTGGGAGGTGCAAATGGTTAACATGCTGAGCTACTAGCCAAGAGGTTGGAGATTTCAGTCCATCTAGCGGCACCTTGGAAGAAAGGCTTGGCAATCTATTTCTAAAAAAATCAGTCACTAAAGACCCCTATGAAGCACAATTCTACTCTGACACACATGGGATTCCCATGAGTTGGAGTCAACTCAGCAACAACTGGTACCAGTACTATGTAGGGAGAAGGATCTGACAGTGAGGTCAAAGTCAACTGCAAAGAGCAACACTAACCATTCAAAGTTTAGCAAAGGCTAGCCTTTACCCTCAAGACTTTTGTTTAGATTAGCCAAAGATTCAAGAACTGGCAGGACTTGTTTACTTGAGATTTGTATTTCCTTAGCTTGTTCTTAAAAGTTAAATAAAACCTTTCCCTCTCTGACTGGAATAGACAGAGTTGATGTTACATTTGTTTTTCCCTTTAGGCAGAAAAACCTTCCATAATGCCTGGCCTACTGTAGACATCCAATAAGTGCCTGGAGCAAAATACAATTCATTACCTCCACCTTGTTTTTGTAGGAAGATATTAAAATATATTTGGAAACAAATTTTAGGAAATTACTAAGTTCCTCTTTGGATAAATGTTGTTGTTGTGTGCCATTGAATCAATTCCGGCTCCTAGTAATCCCATGTGACAGAGTAGACTTGCCCTGCAGGATTTTCTAGGCTGTAATCTTCACAAAAACTGGTCTTTGTCCTGTGGAGCTGCTGGGTAGGTTTGAACCATCAACCTCTTGGTTAGCAGCTGAACCAGTGTGCCTTTCTTCGGATAAATAGGCTTCCCAAATGTTATTGACTATGGCTGACTCCAAAGCTGTTGTCACTCCTGACAGCACCTTGGCCCCCTTACTTCTCCCTCAGAACTTATGGTTATTCTGTTGCAGCACCAGCAGTTATAGATATGCTCAAACAAAAATTAAGGTTCTAAAGCTAATCATTTTTGTCAAGAATATTTATTATCTCATTTCAGAAAGTGGATGTCACCAGCAGGGCTGTGATGGAAATCATGACTAAAACAATTGAATACCTTCAACCCAATCCAGGTAAGAGATCATCCTATGCATCTGGAGTGTCCCTCCAAGATAACTTTGAGTTTCTTCTTGGTAGAAATTTTAGACTGAGTATGCTTCCCCTTCATCATTCTACTTTTCTAGAAGTTTAGTGACTTAATGTTTTGACTGTTTATTGGGAAGGGACTTTTTTAAGGCTCACATTGAAGTAACTGGAAGATTCTGTGGTTTTACCCGACTGTGATGTGAACAGCACTGTGTGGACAGGTTGGGTGATACATAATGTCATGGTAGCTGCAAGCTGTTATTAATCGAATTTGTATTTTCAAGACAATGAGAAGAAAAAGAAAGGAAAATTTTAAGACAAAATGATTCCAAGAAGGTGTGGAAAAGTAGGAGGTTGAACAGTTTTATGAAATAGAGAATTTGTGCTCAAACAGCAGCATTGAGGTCTTTGGAGGGTTGCCCTTACTTCTACTTCTTCTCCAAGCACATCAAGATCAGCATTTGTTCCAGCTAACCTGTTAAACTCCAGGAGAAAAGAATTGTAACAGAGGCAATAGAGTCATATCTTGAAAAGAGAGCCAGGCAGAATTGTGTGAACTCTGTAGACACCAGGTGCAACAGAGCATAGCAGACTATATCATACATAGGTCTCTTCAGTATTCTTCCTTTATGTCAGTTCCTATTGCATAGTGTAGAAACTTAAAGCAAGGCTAATGTACTTAAGTGAAATATATGAGGATTTGGCAAGCTGCTTACCTTTGAGACTAATTTCGTTGCAAGTTTCGGGTTGATATTCTCTGGTGGTCCTAGGGATGATGGCTCAGGAAACTGAGTTACCCCCAAAAGTACTTTTGAGTACTGTGGGCATTAGTGGGCAAAAGATAAGAAAAGAGGAGCGTGTGTGATAACAGGAACTTGGACAAGTAGAGTAGTAAGCACTAACTCTGCTGCCTTCTGCAGCTACTATACCTTTCATTCAGCCTCTACCTAGAACAGTGCAGCTGTTGTTTTTATGATGAACAAAATGTGTGGGAAAGCATTCTTCACTTTTATTTCCTTCTTAAGATACATTAGATAAAGGGACTATGTGAGAGAGTAAAACATACAAGTAAATATGGTAAACTGTGTTTTTGTTGTTAGCTGCCAGCATGAGTCTACTCTAATTCCTGGCAGTCTTAGGGACAACTGAACTAAACTAACATTTCTCAGTTCATCACTCCACAGTTGTCAACATGTTTGAGCCCATTGTCATTGCTACTCTGCCGGTTTGTCTCACCAAGGGACTCCTTTGCCCTAGCCAGGCCTCTGCTTCACCAAACATGATGTTAATCTCTACCAGTTGATCCATCTTGATAACATTTCCAAAGTAAGTGAGTGGGATGATGTTCATTTGTGATCCATAAGCTTTTCATTGTCTGAATTTTAGAAATAGATTGCCTAGACTGCCTTAGTCTAGAACCATCACTTTATCATATCAACAATGGTGACTCTGCTGGTATTTGAAATACTGGTGGCATAGCATCATACCATTATAGCAACATATAAGCCACTACAATATGACAAACTGATAGGTCGGTGTTGGATGTTAAGTTATGGGAACCAGGAATTTACCTGCAGTATGGGAACCAGGAATTTACCTGCAGTATACCAGATAAGTTTTCAAATGGCTAGCTAATTAGGGAAAGAAAAGCAAAAATCAGACTTCTAATTTTTTTCATGACCTTTCCATTCAATAGAGTCTCTTAGATACATATCTTTTCCTTAATATTTAAACAACTGTAATAGGTCGAGTTCTGGAAAAAGGGTGTCCTCCCTCACCACACATACAAAAAAATAATTGTATCTGAATGAGAAATGTTTTTCTTTGTATAGAACCTTGAAGTACTCTGTGATTTCGAATTTATAAGTGAATTGCACTGGTAACTGATTGCTATAAGGCTAAGATAAATATAAGGGAGGGAAAGAGAAACACAATATTTATTGATCATTGCTGATGTTAGATGGATCTTGGCTGAAAGCAAAGAATACCAGAAAGAAGGTTACGTGTGTTTTATTGACTATGCTAAAGCATTCAGCTGTGTAGATCATAAACAATTATGGATATCATTGAGAAAAATAAGAATTCTATATATTTAGGTATCTTCAATGAATTGAGAGACAGATCAAGGAAAACACAGAGAAAACCCTAGTACAATTTCAGAAGATAATACAGGAACAAAATGACAAAATAAATGAAAAACTAGAAATAATACAAAATCTACACACAGAAATCCAGAAGATTGATACTAAATTTTCAAAAATAAATAAGACATTGAATGGGCAAAGGAGCAGAATTGAATCAATGGAAGACAGAATTAGAGAGATTAAAGGCAAATACCTGAACACTTCTTTGGAAAGGGATAAATCAGAAAAAAGAGCAAAACAAAATGAAGAAAGCCTAAGGTTCATGTGGGATACCATCAAAAGGAATAACCTACGTGTAATTGGAATTCCAGAACAGGAAGACACAAATAAAACCACAGAGAAAATTGTCAAAGATTTGTCGGAAGAGAATATTCCTGTTATGATGAAAGATGAGAATATATGCATTCAGGAAGTCCAATGACCCCAAACAGGATAGACTTCAAAAGAAAATCACCCAGACATATCATCATCAAACTTACCAAAACCAAAGACAAAGAAAGAATCATGAGAGCAGCATGGGAAAAACGAAAAGTTACCTACAAGGGGCAACCAATAAGACTAAGCTCGGATTTCTCGGCAGAAACCACACAGGTGAGAAGACAATGGGATGGTATATATAAAACCCTGAAAGACAAAAATTTCCAACCAAGAATTATGTACTCAGCAAAATTGTCCCTCAAATATAATGGTGAAATTAGGACATTTCCAGATAAGTATAAATTAAGGGAATTTGTTAAAAAACAAGATCAACCTTAACAAGAGATGCTAAAGGGAGTCCTTTGGACAGAGAAGCAACACCAGCCAGCAACAACTGACCATTAACACACATGATGATAAAACCCAGAAACCAACCCCAGGTATGGAAGAAGTATCCAAAGTAAATAAGCCTGCAGGATTGTAAAAAGGGAAGCAGAGACATCAATTGACAAATGAGGACAAGTACAGACCAAAAAGAGGGGAAATGCCGTGTAGTTACAAAACTTCTAGATGGTAGGGAAGTCAAGACAACTACAAGATAGAATGGACTATTCTAAACTTGGGAAGAAAACTATAAATCACAGGGTAACCTCAAAGAAAAATGATAAACCTTCACATCAAAAAAGAGCTAGCATAAATACTCAGCAAATACTAAAACAATAGCAACGAAGGAAGTGATAACACGATTCAGAAACAAAATGAGCTCAGCATAGAAAATTATATGGAACAAAGAAATTGACACCACAAAAAAGCACATAACAAAAATGACAGCAACAAATTCATATTTGCTGATAATTACCCACCAGCCACTCCTTGGAAGGAAGGTTGGGAAATCCTACTTCCGTAGTGATACTGCCTTGGAAACCCAAGGAGGGGTCACTATGAGTCGGGGCCGACTTGACGGCACATAACAACAACAACAACACATATCTGGCAAGGGACTTATCTCTAAGATTTATAGCAGAAGAATGGAAGACCAAACTATGGTACATACACATAATGGAATGCTATGCAGCACTAACGAATAATGTATAGTCTGCAAAAACACCACAAAATATGGATGAACTTGGAGGACATTATGCTGAGTGAAATAAGGCAATCACAGAAGGACAAATGTATATTAGTTTGTTGTTGTGGAGGGTCAAGGAAAGGTTTATATATGGAGGGAAACTTTCTTTGTTGGTTGCCAGGGGTGGGAGAGGAGGGGAGGGAACACTGGAAAAAAAAAAAAAAAAGCATTGGCCCATGCCACTTAGTTTTGTGTATTTCACTGTACATAAATTATATTTCAATAAAATGCATTAAAAAAATAAGAATTCTAGAACACTTAATTGTGCTCAAGAGGAACCTGTACATAGACTAGGAGGCTGTTGTTCAAACAGAACAGGGGTCTACCGCATGGTTTAAAATCAGAAAGGATGTGCATCACGGGTATATCCTTTCACCATATTTCAATCTGTATGCTGAGTAAATAATCCAAGAAACTGGACTATGTGAAGAAGAATGGAGCATCAGGATTGGAAGAAGAATCATTAACAACCTGCAATGTGCAGAGGACATAACTTTGGTTGCTGAAAGTGAAGATGACTTGAAGCACTTACTGATGAAGGTACAGTATGGAATACCTGAACATAAAGAGAACAAAAAACCTCAGAACTTGACCAGTAAGCAGGATCATGAGAAATGGAGAAACGATTGAAGTTGTCAAAGATTTCATGTTACTTGGATCCACAATCAACACCCATGGAAGCGGCAGTCAAGAAATCAGACATCGTATTTTACTCGGCAAATTTGCTGCAAAAGACCTCTTTAAATTGCTAAAGAGCAAAGATGTTTCTTTGAAGACTAAGGTATACCTAATCCAAGCCATGGTATTTTCAGTCATCTCATATGCATGTGAAAGCTGGACAATGAATAAGGAAGACTGAAGAAGAGTTGATGCTTTTGAGTAGGCGAAGAATACTGAAAGTATTGGCAAAGAATACTGAAAGTACCATGGACTGCCAGAACTAACAAATTTGTCCTGGAAGAAGTGCAGCTGGAATATTCTTTGGAAGTGAGAATGGCCAGACTTTGTCTCACCTACTTTCGTCATGTTGTTAGAAGGGACCATTCCCTATAGAAGGATATCATGCTTGGTAAAATGGAGGGTCAGTGACAGAGGGGAAGGCCCTCAACAAGATGGATTGACACAGTGCCTGCAATGATGGGCTAAGGTATAGCAAGGGTTTTGATGACCAGGCAGTGTTTCATTCTGTTGTACATATGGTGACTGTTAGTTGGAAGTAACTCGATGGTGCCTAACAGCAACAACAATACATTTTTTGATGCCTTCAAATTATGATGTTAGTGAAGAATATTGAATA